TGCACACTTCCCTCAAGCATAAAACAACATTTCTGTACATGTTGTCAGGACCTTAAATTGCACACTGTTCTGTTTGATTATTTTCAAACCCTGCATTGGCCATAGGGGCTCAGATGAGAAATATTTGCATATCACAAAGTGGGAGCAAGGGCTGAATTAAAGTGGCAAGCAACTGGATTGAAACTAAATTCTAAGTGGAAGTTGTATGCGCTCATTTTTAACAAGGGTTTATTTTGTTATTTTTAATGAAAGCAATGACCTCTACTAGAATTGAACAAGACACAGATTGTGTAGAGTGAATTTATGGGGTTTTTGCTTTTTTCCTCTCACTCACCAAATATACTGGAGCTGCTCATTTCTGCACAAAACCCAGACTGAGAAAAACCTTGTAATATTGTAACATGTACACCTAAAATGTATATTCAAATGTAGGCTAAAGAATATAAATTCCAAATGAGTTTATTATCCTTAATGTTATTCAGCTGCAGTTCAAGTAAATACAATGTATTAGTTGCTTATTGAATGTGATACCACTTTTAAAAATTCAATTTGCTGTGCAGGATTTTTCCCAAGATACATTAGATAATGTCAAGTTTAAATCTGTGTGCGAGTCTACAGAGATTGCCATGCAGATGGAGCTGTGGAAAGCCAAAGGAAAGATTTTCATAAGCACACTGGGCTTAAACAAATCTGTTTAATTTGTTTTCCTCCCAGCCCCTGTTTTCAACAACTTGAATTCCTCAGATATTCAAGGTTATTTTGGAAGCATTTAATATAGAGAAAGCAGAAAGGCAACCTGAAGAAAAGGATTGTTATTTTAAGGGAAGAATATTTTGCAAGTGGTGGGAACAAGCCACATGCATGTTCATTATTACATGAATTTAGTCCCAGACTAAATAGTTTTCTTCTGTGTCCATGCTAGGACAAAGAGATTGCTTCCCCCATTTTGTCCTTCCCTTGCTGCATGAGGAAACCGCAGTAACAAAATAGAGAATCTTGTGCATTTTCATACGTTTTGGTACATAATGGCAGTTTAAGCACTTTACTTTGTATAATTTTGTCAGCAGATGGGATGGGGAAAAAAAGTCTGATTCAGATTATTCCAGGGCATTTTTATTAGATCAGAGCTGTAATATTGGGCATTGGTGAGTGGTAATTGGTGTCAGAGGAAGTTTTTTGTCTAATAGTTCTAGATTAGTGTACTGAGGATACTGAGAAATGCTTGGGCTGAGGTTGGCCAGGATCTCGTGCTCAGTCATTAACTGATTTCTAAGGGCTTTCTGAGCTCCTGTTGCTATCTGTGCTTTGTCCTGCTGCCACAATGAAAGGAATTGATTGATAACTAGTCAGGATAATAAACTGCAAAGACTAGCAATACTTCGGTAGATATGCAGTATGCATTTTAGCTGTCCAAGCACTAATAAAAAGCAAGACCTGAGTTGATCTTTTGCTAGTGTAAACCAGTTCTTACATTTGGCAAAGATATTTTATTCAGGCAGTAAAAAAAAACCCTCAATTTTTTCTTTTCAAAGGGCTTTAACACAATTACGAGGTAGTAAATGCATCAACAAATGTTGGCTTTGTTTATTTTTTGAAATAGCTCTTAAAATCATCCCAAATCTTGCTAATTCAATGGAACCTTCCTCAATTATTTGGCATTTCAGTGTGTAGGCATTAGAGTATGTGAGCAGTTGTAACCATGTTTGTGCAGTCAGTTTTGCAAATAAATGGATAAACTTGCTTATGGGAGAGTCACACCCCACTTGTGTTTACAACCTGAGACTGATACAGTGAGTAAAAAACAGCTGAAATACTTGTAGGAACAACAAAAATCAAGCAAACCTTGAGAAGTGCTTGGAATAAAGTTATTGTGTGTTTGCAAGCCAATGCAGTGCTAACAGAGCCAGGACACGTGGGATGTTAATGTTTGGGTTTGGTTTTTTAATGTCCACTTAAAATTAGTGACATGGCTCAGATTTTTCAGTACACATCTCTTAGGTACTGGAGGTAGTTAACTGTGTCGTATTAAACACACTTGGAGTTGAAAATGTTGCTTTATGTGAGCATTTATAGATTCTGAACCTCAGCTGTGCATGCTTTTTTGGTTCACTGTTGAAATACTGTAACCACAATTGAATTGAAATGGGTTAGTTCAGAGGAACTGATATTTAGAGTTTTATCTGTTTACTCAGCTGTAACTCACAGCAGGTAGGAGGCACAGACTCTGGACTCAGGGAGGTTCCACTAATGTGTTTCAAAATTCGTTTGATAATTGAAGTTAGGTATTGTGGTATTCACGTGTCCTCTAAACAGAGAAAGATTTAGCATTTTCAGGGTTTTTCCTGAGAGAAACTGTGAGAGAAGTAGAGAAAAGAACGATTAAAACAATTCTTATTTCACTTACTAAACTTGTTGTGCACATGTGGAATATGCTATAGAGATTATTTACTCAAAATGATTGCTTGATCAGATTCTGGTTGATAGTATTTTAGATTGATTGACTAATTAAGTCATAATTGTGTTGGGACTCTCAGCAGAGAGAGTCACAGGTTTTTTAGTCAGTGATAGTTCTTGTTAGTGTAACATAGTGAAATATAATTTTAGTGTACTGTAGTATAATAAAGTTATTAACTAATTAATTAATTCTGATATCATGGAGTTCTCTACATAATTCTTTCCACATGTCAGGAATTGCAACACTGATAAGGTATCATGAGACCCTCATGAACAGAGATGAAATTCAATTTGTAAAGTACTTGTTATGGTTTTTTTGTGGCCTTTTATGAACTATTGCAGATCCAACTTCTAAATCCTTATGTGAGCTGATTAGCATTAGGAATAAATGGCAAACTCCATACTATTGTTAGGAATTTGTATGCTGTGCAAGGTAAATACACCTTTTCACCCTATTGGTTTGCCTCTCTTCTTACCATTTCTGTAATCATCAAAGATTGAGGAAATTGCAGTAAATCTCCAAGAGCATTTTGTGGTTGTGATGCCACCACACTTGCCATTTTGTGTGTGTGCATCAATATGTATTAAATGGTACCAAATGAGCTTAGTAGAGGTTTTGCCTTATGTGCTTTTCTCTGGAGAGGCAGGAACATCACGTGTGGCCTGGTGTTAGGATTGTGAATCATAGAATTCAGTCCATGACCTCAGTTATAAAACACCAGTCTGGTTGCATTTAGTCTGCTCTGCTCTCGTCTGAAATCTCTGCTGTACAAGCAACTACAAAATCATGGTTTATAAAGTCACTTAAAATATTGTACATCTGATGCTGATGTGACTCCTCCTCCAAGGAAAGGTTTGTTGAGCAAACAAATCTTATGTGAGAAGACTGCAGAAAAGAGATGCATTTTGCATGCTTGTATGACAGAACTCCTGGGGATGATAGAAACTTTGAATCTTTTCTTCCAGCCCCTGTGTTGGAGGAATGGTAAGGTTGGAATGCAGTTCCAACAGTGTTTTGAAATAGTGTCTTGGAAGAGAGAAAATGAGTGCCAGACTGAGTCTTCCTTTAGGAGAGGAGCCCCAGGCCTTGAGGTGGATGTTTGCAATGAGTTTTAGTAGTGATACTAAACAGACTGTACATTTTAAAACAAATATGATTGTGTTCCAGTGGATTCCCAGTAAAATACCTCCCAGATATTGGTGATACAGTTCAAAATCTGGACCTGTGTAGCTATAGTTACTCTTCTTGACAGTCAGAGTTCCAGTTCTGTATTTCTGGCTTTTATAGCAACTGGAGAGAGCCAAGTGGCAGAGCAGTTAACTGTGGATGGATACTGAAAATGTCTGAGAATAGATTGCTAGTTGTGTTTCAGATTTTTTTTTTTTTTTTTTTGATTCTGTAGAAACTATCTCCTTTGAAAAATGCAGCTGGATGAGGGGAGTAGCTCCAGAGTGAGCTGGCCTGGACTTTGTCTGTGGGTCACTGCTTATACCTACTCAGAGCACAGAGGCACAGAGGTTAATTTAGGGTTCAGGCTGGCAGCACATAGGTTTTGCAGGGAGGGCTGGAGTAAGATTTCTGGTATTTTCTGATCTTCTGCCTGATAGCTGGTGTGTTGAGTTTTTAGGCCTCTCCTGCTTGGAATATGAACTTGGAGTGTAAAATATTGTTAAGTATAGGGCACTCCACACCACAGCCATCACACTTGTCTGCTTCTCTGCTTTATTGCAGTGAGCAAGTACAGCTGTTATTTATAGATGATTTTGCTACTACCCTTCATATCAGTCCATGAGCTGTTCATTCACTGGTATTTGTAGAGGTTTGGTTGTGGGTGAGATTTTTTTGAGAACAATTACTATCACAAAGTACAGATGAAAAACAAAATAATAAATTCTCCCACAATTTTTTTTGTGGGTAGTAAGATCATACGTGCCTCTAACATAACTATAAAATGCAGTGATTGTTGCTAGTGCTGCTCACTCAGTGACTTGTGTGAAAGCTGCATGCTGGATCTTGGGGCAGAGTTTTCCTCAAACTGTATTGGGAGTTATGGAAAAGTTCTAGGGGGTTAAATATGGAGCGTTTGTTTTCCAGTAATGGTGATTTTATTCTTTGTAGGATCTAGGAAGCTTAAGTTGTCAGATGCATTTAACTGTGTTACTCCTCTCTGGCTGGAACAATTAGGCTCTGAGAATCTCAAATGGTGAATGGCATTGGTTACTGTACTTCTGAAGTACTCATAACACTGCTTCAGGTCCACAGTCAGGAAATACAGGAAATGCAAAAAGTTATAAGTTTTCATTCTTCTCTGTCCATTGCTGATGTTTTTGCAGTATTTTGAAGAGGCCAGAAGGTGAACATGCATACCCTCCTCACTGTCTTTGGTTGTGTTTTGTTATAAAATTAGATATTGAAGTCAGTATTTGGACTAATATTTGTTTAGCCAGGAGCAGAACCTTTAAATACATGAATTCTATTCTTTGTATAAATGTTTTTCTAAAGATGTTTGCTGGATAAATATTGCTTGTGTTTTGTTTTAATTTAGATAAAATTATGGAATCAAATTTAGAAGAAGGAAGACCATTTGCTCAAGGTAATACCATTTTCTTCTTACAATGGTACTTGGGAATTATTTGCAATGGTATTTGTCAAGTACTTTCTAGATAAAATGTACTAAGGAAGCAGCATGGCAATGTCTCAAACTCATGAAGAATCTACACTTAAGGAAACCTGGTAAAGTGAAGAAAAAATATAAGCTATTGTGGCTTTAAAGAAGAGAGCTTTTGGTCACAGAGTAACAAAATAACCTTCACTTTTTCCTTTTGAAAAGTACCTTTTTCATAACTAGTGCAAGTGCTTTACCTTGAGATGTGACCTTTGCGGTGAACAGTTTTCTGAGACATCTTCCATGTGATGTGCCCGGTGGCACTGGCAATGAAAATACACTGGATTTTTAAATACTTTCCAACTAGAATTTGCTAAACTACTTCTTTGAAAGCATCTTACCTTGAGTTCACCATAAATTACTAACTTGAACAGTCAGTTGTACTGTATTTCTGTTTCTGCTTAGTATTTTTATTTCTCAATGCTGAAATTCCATTTGAAGGGATTGTGTGTTGTTCAGTAATGTTAGTGTTGTTCAAATATTGTAGAAAGCAAGAAATGTCTGAACTGTAGATTGTCTAATACAGAGTAGATGATCAACCTCCCCAGCTCAGTATGTGCCTTTCACATTTTTGGCATATTTTTGTTCCTATTGTGCAACCACTGCATTAGGTTGTGTCAGGCTGCTGTGGTCAAGCTCCTTTTTTGTTTAGGATTCACCTGGTTACCTGACATCAAAGCAATTTTATTCTAGGATGTTGAGTGTCTTTTTTTAAGGTGTATGGAATACCAAGCTCTGTATGAGCTGAAGAAGTGAGCTGCTTTGCAGCAGAGAGTTGAATCCCAATCATGCAGATGTACAAGCGCACTCAAAATTTCAGCTCCTTTGGTTCAGAAACACTGATTCTGTGGGAAGTTCTGCCCAGTAGTCTGATACTAAGAGTATCTATGTGGAGAACTCTAGAGTCCTGGTTTTGGAATGGTTCCTGGTTTGGAATATTCAGTTTTCCTTTAGGCATTGCCGGAGTGCTGCTTGAAGAACTGGCAGTGTTCAAAATGACACTCTGTAACAGGACAAAAGTGATATCCATAGCACAAGTGACCCTTTGAGACAATGTGGTAAAGGAAAATACTGAATTCATGTGCTCAAGATCACTTGACTGGAGAGTTTAGTAGAGCTCTCACATCTGCAGTGCTGATTTATAGACATCATCTATGGCGAAAGGCAAAGTCATCACGGGCGTTAAGTGCAGCATATGGTTCTGTATAATAAAATTCATCTTGTGTTCTACCCTTTAGCCTCTACCATATGGTTTTGACTAAATTTGTAGCCATTTGTTATGCCAGATAAGTTTAAGAAGTTATTCAGTGATTTATTATTCAAAGTGCAAGAAAACCTCCATGTTTCCTACAGTTGTTGAACTTTGATCAATTCTTTCCGATTCAGTCTACGGCACAAAGTTGTTTGGGCTTACCTACTAGCTATTAAACAGTTCTGTTAAAGGTGATAATAGTGCAAATAAGCATGTAGTTTAGCTAGTAAGAGAATCTGATACAGAAAATTTTGTATGTGATTCTCGTTATGACAGGATGAAAGTAACTTAGCATTTGTTTGGTAGCAAAAATATTTAATATTTTCTTAGGATAACTGTATGGGGGTTGATATGTGTGTGTAAATACTTATACATGTCTGCTCAGAGAAATGAATGGTCAGAGCAGTCCCTTCAGGGCTTTGAATATAATTCAGGGAATAGTTCCATGTTTTACTCCATCTTAATTTGAATGCATAGTGATAGGTCAAAGTGAATCTTTCAGTTTTGTAATGTAAATGGTGACATTTGAGTATTTTCCCTATCATACATGAAAATACAATATTGAAGAAGTAAGAATTGCTTCATCATGCAGGTTGAAATATGGGAGTCCACTGGTCTAGCAAAATTTTTGTGCCTATGAAACATAGGAGAAAAATAAAACATATTTCCTATTTGCAAGAGGTTCTGTGATTCCTTCAAGGATCTTTTAGGGGAGTGCATGTAGTCCTGACTGCTCTGCTTTCTGACAAATTAATTTGGTGTTCTTTGTCTTTGGTGGAAGATTAAAGTGGAAAATATCCTGGTATATTGGATTTTCCTTGGAGACAACTTGTGACTTAGTAATTTGGAACAAATGCTTTCCACGTGGAATAGGCAGCAAATAGCTCCTTCTGTAACTGTGAATGATAGTGAAAGAGTGCTTGTCACCTGATGCTTTGTTGTTTTAAGTAGTGTGCATTTAGGGTATTTTATGTTGTGTGTGGGTGTTTACAGAAATGCTTTTAGACCAACAAGTTTGTGTTTATATCAACCTAAAAGTTCTTATCTGGTGTAAATTTGGTGTTTGTTAGTGGCTCTATTAGGTGACGGAGCTAGCTGCGGTGCAATACAGGCCAAATGTACTTTCACAGATGCTGGTTAGATTCTACTTATTTATTTTAGTCTTCCTGACTGTTAAGACAGGATTTATTCACTATGGCTTTTTATGTAGCATTTGATTACATATTGACTGGCACTTTTCACTTTAAAACACCAGTGTTAACTGGCCTCCCCTAACTGTATGACCATGAAAAATGTGAAGAGTTGAATCCAGTGCTTTGAACAGATTGCCAGAGTACTGAGCATCAGACGTTGTGCTAATGTGGGCAATGACTTCCTGTATGTGTGAAGCCAAATTTTGTCTTTGTGCATTGTATTAGTATTTATAAAATGTGATTGAGCAGTTTTTTGCTGAATTTGATGCATTTGAAAAGGAATTTTTCTTCTGGCCACATCCAGGTTTGTTATTTTTGGAATTTTGAGACATCTGTCCTAGTGGTAAGTCAGTAATAAGCATAATAAGAAAAAACCAAACCCTGTTCTTCAAATTAATTCACAAGCCCACTGGAACTCCTTGAGTTTGATGGAAAAGTGACATTAGTCAACACAAATGACATTCCAGTCTCACAGCTCATGTATTTTTTGGCACAATGCCATGTGCATCCTGCCTTCTGCACAGCAATATTGGGAACAGCTGGAAAAAAATTTGTGGGTAAAAGTGATAATTAATTATGTGCCTAACTCATCTCCACATGCAGTAAATGATGATATGGAAGTATTTGTTCTGTTAAATGCTAGGCAGGTATTGGATTAGGTGAAGACAAAATTCAAGGAAATTAAATGTTTAGGTACTAGCAAGGAGCTTGAGCTCAAAGACTTGCCAGTCCTGGAAAAGTGTAAACATCAGCAGTGGGGCTGCTCTGGTGCATAAATGCTTACTGCTAGTAGAAATACTGAAAGCTGTACTTGGAACCTTGGAAAGGGAATATCAAGCTGATATTTTAAAATCTTTGTTTGGAGATTAATATACTTGAATAGTCCAAGGGATGATTAAAATAGGATGATGGAAGGATGGGGTTGCATTGGGGGAGGCAGTTGGAATAATGTTCATGTGCTGTGGGTAGCTGTGTCTTGTGTCTAGCTATATTTGCTTCCTTCACTACCTTGAACTACCAAGTATTCCCTGTGGTCTAATGAAAAGCTTCTGTCCTGACTTCCCTCTGTTTGCTGTTGAATAACATTTTCATTCTCGTCGTTTCAGCAAAGAAAGATGTGGAGGCAATGAAAGGCCTTCCAAAAGAACAGTATGAGCTTTCTTTATATGAAGTTCATGTTGTGCAGTTCATATGGCTCATTCTACATGCTCCAGCTGTGCTTGTAGTATTGTATCATAGTCAAGTATTGCACATGAGACTCTCCTGGAGACCAAGTCAGGGTATGGTGTTTCTGGTGGCATTTTTTGGTATGTAGAATTTCAGAGATGTTTTCTGTGACTTTGGGCTCTGACTGAAGAGGGAATATCTGGCTTTGATTCCAGGATAAGCAATAAGCTTCAAATGTGTATGTGTACTTTCTTAACAGTACTTATTGAAATTTTCCCAAGTGCTTTCAACATCAGATGTAGAAAACCACAGAAACAGAATGATTAATTACTTTTATTGCTTTTGACTAAAAAGGGGGGATAGCAAAGGTTATATTTTATTCATTAATCATTGAGAATTATATTGGCATGAACCATTTTTATTCCTTTGTCTCAGTTCCTTTATTTGGCAACAGCTGCAGTCATTTGAAGTAAATTGTCCATTAAAGCACTCTTTTGGCTTTTGACAAATTGTATCAAACTGCTTCCTTCAGGGAAACACATCCCTGAGTAGTTGTGCAAGTTTATTCTTCCTGTCAGAGGCATACATTGCCTGAATTTCAGGAGTTGCATGTGCAGAGGGCAGCAGAAACAAGCAAAGGGAAGCTGTATTTCTGGTCAGGTCCAAGTGGAGACTTGAAAAGCTTGTCTTTGTTTTGTTTGATGGCACAGAATTGTGTTTCCACTCACATTTGTTTCAAACACTTGTCAATTTGTAATAATTTGAATATCTGTTAGAACTATGAAAATATTCTTGGATGAGTATCAGTCTTGTGCATCTCACCCCTGGGATAGTCCCCCTTACCCTGGAAATGAGGGGATCAAAAAGGTGCAGCACTGGGAGGGAAGTTGAGCTGAGATAGCTGGGAAATTTAGGGGTAGAGCAGAGGCAGTCAGTTCTTTAAGCTTGCAGTTATCAAAAGTCACTACTGACTTTAAAGTCTGCATATTGGACACCTACCATGGAGTACATGGAAAATATTCACATTGTTCAAGCAATTAATTTACTGGAAAAGGAATATATCTTATAAGCTCAGAATGTAACCTTAATTAGCACAGGAAATTTAGTAATAATATTCTATTCTTATGAAAATTTCATTGCCTGATCTCATTAGTCTGTTTTGTCTCATTTATATGCTCATTTAATGTATCAGAAGTCTGTGTTTTCCCTAAATATGCCTTTAAGGGAAGCAATAGCAGTTCAGCTCATGTTCTTCCTACAGTTTATGCTTGGACAAGAACATTGACCAGGGAATCTCAGCTTTGCAGAATGACAGA